ATCAAATTTTTAGGGGTATAAAACAATTTGAATTCATGCTTGTTGCTGGGTTTCTTTTATTTTTCACATTTCCTTCCTAAATTGTAGCCCATGACATGTCTCTTTTGTGGAGTAGTTATTCATTGTTAGTCCATGACAAATTTTATTTTTTCTTCATTGATTTAGCTTTCACTATCTTCAGCTAAACTATATATTTTGATCATTCCCTCTTTTTTTCCAACTTTATATTGGAGTTTAAGGAACTATTTCACCTTTCCTCTTTTATTTTTTCTTTGCTTTTTTCGGACTTGAACTGCGTAATGCATTATGCTTTATAAGGACATATTTTGCCTCTTTTTTTTCTTGTATATGACAGTCTGAATTGCAACAAATATTGGATTAAAAGTTTTTTTTTTTTTCCCTTTTGCTGTTTGTTTGGCTGAAGGCTACATAAGCTGGAACACTTCTTGTGTTTCCTAAAAAATGGCAATGAAGCCATCAAATAACATCTGGATTCGACGCCAACAGTGCCCATGTGGGGATTGGAAGTGTTACATTCAGTATGAAGGAGATGATCTGGGATCAGTAAGTTCTCAGTATGTAAAGAGTGAGACAACTCCATCTTCTTCATCATCAGAAGCTGTCTTCACTCCTTATGTTGGTCAAATTTTCAAAACTGATGATGATGCTTTTGAATACTACAGCAATTTTGCCCGGAAGAATGGGTTTTCAATTAGAAAAGCACGCTCAACCGAAAGCCAAAACTTAGGGATATATAGACGAGATTTTGTTTGTTATCGGTCAGGATTTAATCAACCAAGAAAAAAGGCCAACGTGGAGCATCCCAGGGAGAGAAAATCAGTACGATGCGGATGTGATGCAAAGTTGTATTTGACAAAGGAAATTGTTGATGGTGTTATGCAATGGTATGTTTCACAGTTTAGTAACGTTCATAACCATGAGTTATTGGAAGATGACCAAGTCCGCCTACTTCCTGCATATCGTAAAATACAAGAGGTTGATCAAGAACGGATTCTTTTACTGTCCAAAGCTGGGTTTCCTGTAAACCGGATAGTGAAGGTGTTGGAGCTAGAAAAGGGAGTTCAACCTGGACAGTTGCCCTTCATAGAGAAAGATGTTAGGAATTTTGTTCGGACTTGTAAAAAGACTGTTCAAGAAAGTGATGCTTTGCTCAATGAGAAAAGAGAGAACGATTTACTAGAACTTCTTGAGGCCTGCAAGGCTATGACTGGGAGGGATCCAGATTTTGTCTATGATTATACTTTAGATGAAAATGAAAAGGTTGAAAATATTGCATGGTCATTTGGTGACTCCATTTGTGCATATACTATTTTTGGTGATGTAGTTGCTTTTGACACTACGTATCGCTCTGTCACTTATGGATTGCTCCTTGGAGTGTGGTTTGGTATTGATAATCATGGCAAGGCAATTTTCTTAGGGTGTGTGCTACTACAAGATGAAAGCTCTCATTCATTTGCTTGGGCTTTACAGGTTTGTGGATGTAAATTCTTGTGATCAGTCCTCATCAGTCTTCTTGTATTTCCTTATGATTTTCTTCTTTTGAACAGGCTTTTATGCGATTTATGAGAGGAAGGCATCCACAGACTATTCTTACAGATATAGACTCAGGGCTCAGAGATGCTATAGCAAGGGAATTGCCAAATACAAAACATGTTCTATGTATATGGCATATTTTATCCAAAATATCCAGTTGGTTCTCCTTGCCCCTTGGATCACAGTATGAAAATTTTAAACCTGAGTTTGATATGTTGTCTCAACTGGAGAGTGTTGAAGATTTTGAACATCAATGGAATATTTTGGTTGCTCGGTTTGGCCTTGTATCCGATAAGCATATAGCTCTGTTGTATTCATATCGAGCATCCTGGACATTTTCTTACATTAGAAGTTACTTTCTCGCTCGTACACTGACAGCTGAGTTTTCACTGTCTTTGGAGTCATTCTTGAAAAGAATATTGAATGGACAGACATGTCTGCAAGTATTCTTTGAGCAGGTAATTTATTCAATCTTTCTGGGCATGTATGTTCTTCAAATTTGGATAACTGCATCATTACGTTCTGTTTTGGTAATTTGAAGGTTAGTATTGCTGCCAACTTAGAGAATCGGACCAGAGAAGGGATGCAATATATGCATGTCAAGACCGGCATGCCTCTTGAAGAACATGCACGGAATATTCTTACACCTTATGCTTTCAATGTCTTACAACACGAAATTGTTCTGTCTCTGCAATATGCAACAACAGAAATGGCAAATGGATCGTATCTTGTGCGACACTACAAGAAATTGGATGGAGAATGTCTTGTCATTTGGATGCCAGATGATGAGCAAATTCACTGTTCTTGTAAGGAATTTGAGCATTCTGGGATTTTATGCAGGCATTCCCTTCGCGTACTTGTAGTGAAGAACTACTTTCAACTCCCTGAAAAATATTTTCTGCTCCGTTGGCGGGTAGAAAGTTCATTGGTTTCTGTGGATGATCAAAATGCTCAAATCAGCAGCGACGATTGTGCCCAGGCCTTCCACAGTCTTACTGCTAGTTTATTGACAGAGTCCTTAATCTCCAAGGACAGATTTAATTATGTCCATAGCGAACTTACGAGTCTTCTTGAGCATGTTAGAAATATGCCAGTAATCAACGAATATGCTGCGAATGCAGCAGCTAATAACATCAGTGAATCATAGTCGGCTTGGTTTAGCAGTTAATATAGATGCTGCACTTTGACCTCTGTTCAAAAGATTCAGAATCTCTGGAAGATGAAATGAGGTGGTGTGGAAGGCATCAAATTGTAGTCATTAACATTAATAAGCTCACACTCTGGAACATTTGCAAACAAGTGATAAAGAAACAGCAATAAAAAAATATTTTATCAACCCTAGCAAGCCAGCTCAGATTGCCTGGATGGGTGTCATTCTTTCATTGTATTTACTTCAAGTTTCAGGAAATGTTGGAATGAGGTAAGGGGAAGCTGGTCACTTTCAGTGTAAAATGTAAGTTTACAGTTTATTCGAGTCCCCTTAACAATGTAAATTTGGACAAATGGTGTTTGGAAACTGACCTCAGTTTAGTGTTAAGTTATCCTGATTTCCTCATAATCTTGATGATGCAGTTGGACTGAAATGATTATGCAAAATGCTTGTTACTTGTAAAATAACGTTCAATTATTACAGTTCAAAATTTATCTGGTTCCATCAAAAATCTGAAACACCCCACTGACCACGGCATGAAGAAAGAGTTCCTAATCACTTATTGTAGAGCGTGTGTGGGGTCAGTGGCAAATAACCACCATGTCCCTGTTTCTGTAGGCCCAAATAAAATTCAATGTCTTTCACTGTCACAAACAACATTCATCAAGATTCCAAACGACAAAGCGAAACTTTCACCTAGACTTTTCAATGGACTGGACTACCACGTCAATTTAACGTTTGAATTTCCATGGCTTTAATTTTGTTCACCGCACGAGAAAACGTCTGATTGGGGTTGGTCTCCCACCCTTCTTGTCTGTTTAATTGCAATGTTTGTGAGTGTTTTGCCTCCAAGGAAACCCAGTCAAAGAGCAAGTCAGTTTCAATCTCATTATGTTTTCTCCTTTATCCTTTTTGTTCCATCCTTAATTTCTTCCCATAGTTTTATCTTGTATTTTCGATTCGGAAAAGGAAAGTGTGAGTTGTACCACTAGAGCTATAAGCCCCTCGTAGTGCTTGTAAGAGGAAAATTGATTGTGTTTGACGGTAATACCACGCATACATATACAGTATCCTAGGGAATAAGGCAATTCTGATGACATTGATATATTGCTGGTGAACGGTGATGCATACTTAGGTGGTGGTGCAGTTTGTGTCTGTTTCTTGTCACTTATGTGCTTATTAATGAGAATGTCGTGCATCTCATCAAGCCTTAATTATGCTCACTAAGATGTGAAGATCTTTGAGTTTTGTCGGATGGTCACTTTGTGCCGGCTAAAACAGCGCCAGGAAGTACAGAAAATTGGCACACCTTCTCCTAACCCTGGACATAATTGGACAGCTCATCATGTGGGCGAACATGCACTAAAGTAAAGTCCATAAAGATTGTAGGATCAAGGCTTGGAGAGAGAGAGAGAGACATGATTCCCCCTTTAAATTTGGAATATGAATTCATAGTATAATGTTCTGTTGCAAGACTTGCATATATATGTTGTTAAGATTGTGGATCTGGACGATACATTTTAACAAAATCATCATAATTAATATATATAAGTATTTTCGATAATGTGACAAGAAAACATGTTTCATGAATCTTATTATTTTATTACAATGTCCCTATAAACCATAAATTGATTAGATCCGAGCAATAAATTATTGATAATCCGACAATACAACATATATTCATTTTATTATAAACATTGTTGACTGGTAGCAGCATGTCTATGTCTTGTATTATGATCTGACAAATTTGAACTCTCGCCCGAATTGGACTGTTTGTTAGAACAATTGTCTTTTTCTGAAAGACCTGGAAGCAAAAGAGTCAAGTGATGAATTGCTCGGTATCTTCTTAAAAGGGGGATAAACATAAGCAAAAAGAAGAATCAAAGATATATATATATGTCCAATAAAAACAAACAATACAAGGAAAAAGGTGAAATCATGGATATCGTTGATTCATATTTTTATTTTATTTGGGTTTTTAAATGCACCTTTTGCCCTGTCCTTGCACGTAATTGAAGGAGTTGTCTTACCGACTCATTGCTTTTGGTTATTTGTGGCAACTTGCAACGTGGAATAGTAGTACTGGGATATGAATATATCTCAAGTCATTTTCAACCGTTTATTTAATGTTAGGACTTGACGATATGGTTCCCAATTTGATTTGCTTACACACAATCAGATCAACCATTTATATTATTACGAGCTGCGATGAGTAAATATGGTACAAATATTTGCGTAAGAGGTTACATGACCTCTGTAACTCATTCAATACACATTATGGTTTCAACTTAAAATTTCAAGTCTCTGATTTCAGCTAAAAGTTGTATCATTGATTATTGATATGAAGGTAAAGAGCTGGGATGGTATTTTACACAGTATGGAAATCAGAAGGAATAAGAAAACCAAAAATCTCAAAGTTACAGTCACAGAGTAGTCTTTTTTAATTGAAAAACTAGCTTGTTAGTTCTTTGCTCACTGACTTCAAATCAAAACATGGTTGCCTGCTGGACTTCAAGTTTAATTCCTTCCTTCATTCTTCTGATAAAATCATCACATTTCTTGTTTAACTCCTCTCTACTCAGCAACTCAATTCCTTCTTCTTCATATGCATCATGATCTTCAACCATAATTAAGCTGTTTCTGCAGCCTTCCTCTTCTTCATCTTGTCTAGTCAAAACCCTTTTATCTTCTTCTTCTTCTTCTTCTTCTTCTTCTTCTTCTTCTTCTTCTTCTTCTTCTTCTTCTTCTTCTTCTTCTTCTTCTTCTTCTTCTTCTTCTTCTTCTTCTTCTTCTTCTTCTTCTTCTTCTTCTTCTTCTTCTTCTTCTTCTTCTTCTTCTTCTTCTTCTTCTTCTTCTTCTTCTTCTTCTTCTTCTTCTTCTTCTTCTTCTTCTTCTTCTTCTTCTTCTTCTTCTTCTTCTTCTTCTTCTTCTTCTTCTTCTTCTTCTTCTTCTTCTTCTTCTTCTTCTTCTTCTTCTTCTTCTTCTTCTTCTTCTTCTTCTTCTTCTTCTTCTTCTTCTTCTTCTTCTTCTTCTTCTTCTTCTTCTTCTTCTTCTTCTTCTTCTTCTTCTTCTTCTTCTTCTTCTTCTTCTTCTTCTTCTTCTTCTTCTTCTTCTTCTTCTTCTTCTTCTTCTTCTTCTTCTTCTTCTTCTTCTTCTTCTTCTTCTTCTTCTTCTTCTTCTTCTTCTTCTTCTTCTTCTTCTTCTTCTTCTTCTTCTTCTTCTTCTTCTTCTTCTTCTTCTTCTTCTTCTTCTTCTTCTTCTTCTACTGTGATAAAGATTTCATCATCTTCTCTTACTTGCTCTTGTTCAACTTCCACATTGACAACTTCTTCCTTTGCTTTTGGTGCCTTTGTCTCTTCCAATTCGACAACTCTTTGCCGGTTTTCGCTGTTCTTCGGAGCATGTTCATCATTGTTAAGATTAGTACTTCCTGGTGGAGAAGTTCCAATAAGACCAGAATTCTTGACAATAAACACCAGAAGTCCATTGCAGAGCAAGAACATGTAGTTCTTATCAAAGCTGTAGCTGAACAGTTTCACAGAAGCTGCAGATGTGAAGGCATTGAAGGAATGAAGAAGTAAAGAAACCAAAGAAGAGTAGGACAATAAAATTGACAAGACTGAGACAGAGAGCAAAAGTTTGATGACTTTGCTTTGGTTATGGGATTGGCTGAAATTGAACTGGCTTGCAGCTTGGATGCTTGAAACCTTGATATAATCCATGGTGGTTTCTTCTTGGAGGGATAAAATCTGAGAGATTTTTCAAAGGGTTTTCTTTTTCTCAGAGGCTTAGTGAGGTTGGCTTACTCTTTTGCAATATGCCAAAGGAAATGAAACTGGAGGGTGCTTTATATAAGTTTTTAGAGTTGTGAGTATCGTAATCTGGTGTGAACTGATACACTTCACAGAAATAGACCCCTAAGTCAGTCAACTACCTCAATAATATTTCTTTTTGATGACTAAGACTTAAATCAGTGGTCTTTCAAGAAAAATCAAAAAAGGAAATTTATGGTTGGTTCCTTTAGCTGTCTTATTATTACCATTACTTGCCTCTTCAAGGCCAGTTTAGCTTTATCTTTGAATTTTTACTGTAGATGATCCATCTTTTTAGGCAGTAGCTCTCTTTTTGATGTTTATACCAAACAAAAGTTCAATGAAAGTTCATTGGTTTTTTCTCTACATGAAGTAAACACTTTAACAGAAAGATGGTTGGATTTAAAGGGTTAATTTTGAGGATGGTAGGTTGAATTTTGAGCTGGTTCAGGGTGGCAGATCTTAAAGTTTGGCATTTGGGTTGGTAGGCATGGAATGAAAGTAACTAAGTCATCTCAGTTATTCTCAGTGGTAACAAAATCTGAAAACCATTCCAAACATTTCAGCAAATACTCAGGTTCTAGATTTGGTCAATTATGGCAATGTTAGGGTAAGATTAGTCCCTTAATCATTTTTATCTTAGCTGGTGATGACTTGATAATCCCGGGTCAAGTTTTTGTTTAAGAATTGACTAAGATGTTAAGGTTGACCTCAGGTCAATCCGTCTAGCAAGTAGACAGAAAAATTGGTTTGTGTTTATCTTTTTGAACTTAGAAATTTGGGGTTAAAACAAAAATACGTACCGGAGCCTGACAGTAGTTGAATGTTTGAATGCGTGTGGGGAGGTGTTGAATAAATCAATTGAAGTTTTCACATTCTGCATAATAATTTGCCTCGTACAATTCGCGTGGACCAGGTCTAGACTTCTAGGCTGATTAGGGCTGGGCTGGCCTTGGGGTTGAGGGATTGGACTTGTTTAAAAATTGGGTGGGGTTAAATGGTCCACATGAAAAGTCTATAAAGATAAATATTCAAGTTTTTAGGTTCAATGGTCTTTGAACTTTGATTCGATTTGCATTTTGATCCATTAATTTTTAAAATCATTCTCGTGGTCCTTCAACTTTAGTTTTGTTAGGACAAATGGTCATGACGTCAATTTTGTTAACTTTTTTTTGTTAAATTTGAGCATATGCATGATGACACGTGGTGTGCTGTTGAGGGTCAAAATCGAAAATTGCTTAACTCATGGGGTACATGGGCAATTCATGGCACACACAAACCCCACACTCAATCCCCCAGCCCTGCAACTTAACTCTCGCCATCCATATATCTCCCTCCCTTCCCAAGCCAGGCCCATTAAAACCCACCACCAATCAAGGAATGATATATCTCCCCTCCTCCAATCCAACAAAGCCATGGACAACCTTCATTAGACACCGAGCTAATTAACCCACCACCCCGACAACAACCGATGGCACTCTCACAACCCACATTTCCACCCAAACCATACCTACCCTCCTTGCGATGGCGAGGATAGGAAGAATTTTTTTTAGTTTTTATTTTTATTTTTTGGATGAAAGGAATATTCATATGGTGGAAATTAAAAATAATACAAAAATAACATTTTGCCTATACATATAACAAAATTGACAGCATAACCATTTGTCCTAACGAAAGTGAAGTTGAAGGACTATAGGAACAATTTCAAAAATTAAGGGACAAAAATATGAATCGGGTCAAAATTCAGGGACCATTAGACCTAAAAACCATAAATATTCAAGAATTACCCCATTTTTTAAAAATAAAATAAAATAAATAAAGTTGGCCCAATTTTAAATCAGGGTTGATGTTTTCTTTGGTTAGGATTACTTACTGTTTTTCCTGAACTTTATTTATTTATAATGAACAAAATGTCTCTACATTATTGGATTTGAATTATTTACTGATTTTTTTTATTTTTTATTTTGTTCATCTTATACTTTTCTTTAAAACTACATCGTTTTAAACTTCTATATGATTATCTTTTTAATAGAAAAGAAAAGCTAAATAGTAGACTTTAGATTCAATACACTTAACCCCATACTTTAAAATCAGGTATATCTTTACATATAAGAGGGTGGGGGATTTCAAACCTAGAATCGCTGGTGACAAGGAGAATGCCTTAACCACTTGCGCTACTCCTTATCCTCACATAATTTTCACTTTGGATTTCGACAAATACCAGAATGCCACTTGCATTAATAAAACAAAATGAAAAATCCTTCACCTCAAAACTAAAATGTTAAATTTGCCACCAGTAATTGAACAGTGGTTTAATTGCAAATTGGTCGTTCGTAAGAAGGGCAAAATGGTACTTTCATCGACTTTTTATTTTTATTTTTTATAGGGTCATCGACATGTTTTGCTAAGCAAGTAAAGCATATGTGATGTGATGATAAATGTTGAACAGAGTATATAGACTAGACGACCACGAGATACATTCCACATCACTCATTTAACAAACATTATCTGTAAAGCTATAAATACTTATCTCACAGTATTGTTCAATTTTGAGCTTCATCTTCCCTTCAACCTGTTGCATGGCTACTTACCTCAGTCCTTGTTCTTCTTCTTCAACCTCATCCACACCTTCATTCAAGAACGAGACGCCCCAGTTCAGCAAATTCATCACTTTGCTAAGAGAAGCACATTCCTCCTCCAGATTGGTTTCTCAGATTTGCCTCAGAACCCCTGCCAGAAAGTACTTCCAGCTCAAATCGTCAAATGGGCATCCACTCAATGCTGTGTCTTTCAATGACGGTTCGCTTCTTGGTTCTTCTGCTGTTTATATGCTACCCCTTTTGGCCATTTTGTTTAATTCTATGAGTAACTAGTTTCGTTATGTTTAAGCAACCAGTTCACGTCCCCAATGCTTTTATTATGATTGATCGATTGCATAGGGTTGTGATTTCAACTTGTAATTTTCAAGCTTACCTCTGTATCAAGAAACATTCTTTATTGGCAGACATTACCATTTGCAACATGTTTAATGCTTTCTGACATGTTTGATCACAGGAAATCTTACTTGTATTTGACTTGGATTGAATGCTCATTGATACAAGTTCAAATTTTAAATAATAACAATTACAATTAGTGATTGTAAAGTAACTTGCTTGGAAGATGTGGTGTGCTTAGATTTTCAATCCACCTCTTCTGATCTTGGTTCTCCATTTAGCTGTCTGCAATCTGTTTGATATCATGTACTCGGTTAGTTTTCTTTGTTGGGTTTATCACTGCTCAATTTTAAATGGGTATTTGAAATTACTTCAGCTGGAAGTCCTGTGGGCAAAGAACAGACTGAACCTCGAGGCAAAGTCTTTCCCATCTCAGATTCAGAAAATGTAGAATCTAAATTAAGCATAACCGTTGTTGGTGCTTCTGGAGACCTTGCCAAGAAGAAGATTTTTCCAGCACTTTTTGCTCTTTATTATGAAGATTGTCTGCCTGAGGTTCTTGTCTGATCTCTTCATCAATTTTCACTTTGTAATCATACCAACCAAAACGACTAACTACATTCTGCATGTTATTATCTTCATGTAGAATTTTATTGTGTTTGGCTATGCTCGAACTGAAATGACTGATGAAGAGCTAAGGAACGTGATTAGCACAACCTTGACTTGCAGGATAGATCAGCGGTAAGCCACAGTGAACATGCGATTACATGAAATATTTGCGTTATCTATAAATTGACATGCAGAAATGACTCACAGGGAAAATTGTGAGGAGAAAATGGATCAGTTCTTGAAAAGGTGCTTCTACCACGCTGGTCAGTATAATTCTGAGGAGCATTTTGCAGAATTGGACAGCAAGCTGAAAGAGAAGGAGGTAATGTGTTACTATATTTCTTTCTCTCGCGTGTTCCATAACAGCGAGTGTTGTAAATGCAGAAAATTCATCAAATGTTAGATAAATTGATGTAAATTAGGTACTTAAGGCAAATGGAAGCAAATTCTTAAATCTTGCAGCATGTCTTATAATCATGTGGATGCAATAATTAATTGTCTTTAAATAGATTTGAAACCTGGTTAATTACATATATAGCGTTATATCCTAAAGTGCCATCTATCTCTGGCAATCTTACAGTACTACGTTTCTGTGATTTTCATGGTACTGTTAAGAGTGAAGGTCAAGTCTCAAATTCCATAATAGCGTAAAATATGGTGGTTAAGATCTTCAACTTCTCATTTCAATCAAATCTAAAGTGAGAAAGTTATAAAAGGCAGTTCAGTCTTCAGAGATGGTGTTCTAGTAGATGCCACGAATAACCATCTTGCTGACAGATTTGTCTGTCTTACCCTCTTAGTTATATTGATTTACATTGATAAACATTCACATTTGATATCTTCGATTGTTCTGATATCCAGGCTGGAAGCAAGTCAAATAGGTTGTTTTACTTATCAATACCTCCAAACATATTTGTGGATGTGGTGAGATGTGCTAGCGTTAGAGCTTCTTCAGCAAATGGGTGGACAAGGGTCATTGTTGAAAAGCCATTTGGTCGTGACTCTGAATCATCTGCTCAGCTAACGAAATGTTTAAAGCACTACCTTACTGAAGACCAAATATTTAGGTGAATTTTTCTCTCAATCTTTATCAATAGTCAGATTTATACAAATCTAAAGAAGGAAGTTTGATCTTATAGATAATATTTTTCAGGATTGACCATTACTTGGGCAAGGAGCTTGTTGAGAACCTGTCGGTGCTTCGCTTCTCAAATCTTGTTTTTGAGCCTGTCTGGTCTCGGAACTACATTCGTAATGTGCAACTGATTTTTTCTGAAGATTTTGGTACAGAGGGAAGAGGAGGGTGAGTTTCTTCCTCAACGTTGTACGAAATAAAGTTGTTCAATCACCTGATTGCAGTTATCCTTG